TTTAGAGGCTAAATTGAATGCATTTATAATTTAATGAACTAGAATAATTAAATTTTTATAAATTTGAATATTAAAATGATAATTTGAGTGATTAAAAAAATTGATTGTGTCTCTTGGTGGGCGTCCACGTGTCATCTATGATCTCTAGGGTGCTTTATGATAGGTTGAGAGTGTTGCCAAAAGGAGCTAGACTGGTCTTTGTCCCTCATCAGAGCCTGTCGACTACAGCCAAGTGGCCCTTTTGATTAAAGCATCTCAGACGCACCTCTTCTCTTCTACCATGGAATCCTATTTTTTTCACCAAAATTAATAGACCCAAAAAACAAAGAACACCACAAATTTTAAACATATTTTTGCTTCTCTACATTAAAGTATCACTGAATGTTTATAATTTAAGAATATTTAACAAATATTCTTATAAATGAACCAGTTAAGTTATAAAGCAAATCTTTTAGATCCTGTTAACAAGTGTTTTAAGTACATTAATTAAAAACTTAATTTTTTAAATTACATTTAAATGTATTAAAAATAATGATACAAATGTATTAATGATATTTTTAATTATTTCTCCATCTATTTTTCTCTTAAAAAATAATGTACACTTCTTAAAAAAATTATTAGTTACATAAATTATTGTGATGAAATTATTTTCTTTGACTATATTATTCTTATTAAAAGAGTTAAAATTTACTTATAAAATTATTTGAATGTGTTTAAATATATTGAAACATTTATTTATTCTACAATATATCAACAACAAAATTTACCATGTAAGAAATTAATGACACAAGATTAGAGACTAAACGATCAATACATTAATTTTAATAATATTTAGTTAATAAAAAAATCAAATATAGGATTTAGAATTATAATCATAATATAATAAAAATATATTGTAGAAAGTAAAATTATATAAAAAACAGTAAAATAAATTTAAAATATCTCTCTCTCTCTCTCTCTCTATATATATATATATATATATCATAGCATAATTCTATAAAATGTAAATATACAGTCCGATTTTAATATCATTGGTAGAAATATTTTGCATTTAGTATTATTTTAATTACTATTAATTTTTAATCTTACCTTGTGCATTAAATTTTCATTTTCAATTCATATACAATGAAAAATTATTGAGATTATGAGTTATAAAAATTAATAAGAGTTAGTTCTTGTTTGCGTAAACTTTTAATTTTTTTTATGAAAATAACTTATACTTCTCTATTTTAAAAATTTTTTTGACAAGCTTTTTATTTAATTTTTATAAAATTTCAATTTTTTTTAAGTTTATCAAAAGAAGTTTTATTTATTATTTAAGTTTTTCTATAAATTTATTCAAACAGGCATTAAAATTTATGGAAAAAGGATGGAGTTATTAATAAAAATAAAAATAGAATTGGTACAAGAATTGAGGGAGAAAAGTATATAGAAGTTATTTTTAAAAGATAAAATTATGAAAACTATGTAATAATGTTGATGTGACTAATTATATTGATAAATGTTAGTTAAATTGTTAATGTGATAGCACTACATCCTGTGTTTTAGAATTTATGCATTATAAATGGATCGGTACTCCTTTCTAATCCGAAAAATAGAACACACAAGTTTTTCGTTTTTTTTTTGGTCAAGTTTTAAATATAACACAAAACACTACCCACAAAAATCCATTTATTATTACCCAAAAAATTATTAAGCATTGGGATAATTTTTATTTGTTTATTGATAGTATATGTTAATGTTTTTTTTTCTGGGTTTATTTTATATAGTATATGTTGATGTTCTATACTATCATTTTGGGTCCAGCAGTGAAGTTTTTATAACTTGTGTTGTTCAAGGTCCAAAATAAAGGAGGTAAAAAGGCTGTAAAACTTTAAAAACGTGCTAAGCTTATAAAACATTGAAGGTCTTCAAAAAAGCTACAAGGCCCATGATGGGGCATGCAGGGCTGCAATGGCTATAAGGGCCTACAATTTTGTGGTCGATAGGGCCTGCTTATAAAGGCTAATAAATATGGTCTTTCAATCTGCACTGGCATGACAAAAAAAAATAAAAATGGCTGGACCATAAAAAACCAGCAATACTTTCATTTTTAGTGTTTTTGCAATCAAATAGAGTTTTAAAAACTTGAAGATGACATTAATTTCTGAGATTGCAAATTCAATTTTTTTTTATATTAAACGGGGTGAAAAGTCTAAAAACTAAAACAAGATTAACTAATTATTCTAGGAAAGCTAAAACTGTAACTATCCTCTTTATTAATAGGAATAAGTTATGGAGGAGGATTTCTAAATAAACCTTCTCCTTAGAAATATTATAGGCTTAGTTAACTAAGAAATCATCACACTTGTTGAGTTCGTTAAATATAAGATACAAAATGACAATTCTAAACGAATATATTAAAGATCTAATTTCCTTTATTAAAAGAAAAAAATCTAAACCAAACCAGAATATTGGAATGAACTAGATTTATAGATAGTTTAAAATATAATTCAATCAAAACTTTATCTATTCTAAGATTTTTAACAATGAAAATACCAAGATAAAGGCCTCAAAGTTCCACAACTAGAGTTGAGTAGAATCCAAGTTTTTTAGTGAAAGTAGCACAAAAACGTCCTTGATTATCTCTTATTAGTCTCCATCAGTGACTGACTTTTTCACAATGTAGACCAAAACATCAATGTTGAGTTTAAACAAATATTCTAGTCCATTAGAGATTCTTGCTTATAGGTCCTGTGCAACAAAGATGCAATCAAATACTCATCAGAATTAATGTAATTTATGTAGTTTTGAATTTCAAACAAAATATTATTCATGTCAAAACTTTTCTAATTAAAAACCACTTCTATGTTTCCATAACAAACAAAGAATTAAAGCAAAATAACTGTTTCAATTATATCAATTCCATTAGAACTCTTCACAGACAGGTAATAACAATTCTAGTAAGAAAGACCATAACTAAAAAAATGACACTAATTACAGTGAATAACAAAATAACTCCATTATTTAGAGCAAGTATAAGAGGTTGCAAAACTTTTATTTCTTTTCTCATTTTTAGTTAATAACCTTCCATGCGCCACTTTCCCAAAAAAAAAAATGTTTTAATTCTGAAAGTCCATTCCAATTCTAAACTGCATTAAACAAAACAGGTCTACAGTTATCATCTTAATCAAATTTAATAATTAAAGTATAAGTAGATTTAAGAGAAAACATGTCATTACTAGAAGCAAACCAACTTTCTGTATTACATTATTTATAAGCAATCTAATATGATTAGAAACAAGAAATTTTGGTCCAATCCCATGAATTTTGAAAAACAAACTAGATAATATTGAGATTTTTTTTTCAGCTTCTAAAATAGGAGAATGGGTCAAATTAGCCAAACATTTAATACTAGACATCCAATGATCAATCCAAAATTTAATTAGCCCATTCTCATCCATCCATAAAAGAGTTTATTTTTAAGAGAATCTCAATTGTTGAGGAAATTTATTATCGAATACTATAAATAGATTTTGAATTATGTAAACTAGGGCAGTCACCTGTATCAAAATTATATTTTGCTAAAAGGACTTCAATTAATTAATCATACTTCAACCTAACCTAAACATGTATGCTAAATTTACTTGATGGACATTTCTAAAACCTAAACTCCTCTTAACTTTTTGTTGACAAACAATTCTCTAAAAAACCAAATGACATTTTTTATTAGTGTGGATGAAACATCATATAGCTTTAGCTAAGGTAACTCTTCTAATAAAGAAAATGGAATGAACCTTCCAATTATAAAGTGTTAATTTTCTAATTTTATCAATCAAGGCAGAATCTTGGAATTTCTACTAAAAACAAGAGTTCCTAAGAATAAAAATGAATAGACCATGTTATTCCCAAATTTTTTTGGCTAACTGAAATTTTTAAATTAACATAAGAATTATTAAAGAAAAATATTGATGATTTTTCTTTATAATATGTAGTCCAGACGTAGCAAAACATATCTATTACATTATTAATTAACATATCTATTACATCATTAATTAAGCTAGTTTGATTAATTGAAGTCCCAACCACTAACATTAAATCATCTCCATAAAACATATTTGAGATACTAGGACCTTCTTATCAAAACAGAAAGGGTGTCATTACCTACAATACTTACTATTCAATTTTATTATTTGAATATCAAATAATTGATACCATATTTAATATTATATATAATTATTTTTATTATGTTTGTTTCTTTAAATTAAAGAAATGAAAAATATTATTTCATTTTATTTTTAATAAATAAACATCTTCCTTCTTACTCATGGGTCATGCCTTACCCTATGACAATCATGTAATATGTATTTATTTTAAAATGTCTCATGCGTTGAGTTGACTTTGATTTGTAAGTTGATCAGCAAAGACCATAAATTTAAATTTAAAATAAGTGATTCATTTATTTACAAATTTATGTAGGTTGATTTGTATAATTTACAGATTTAAAGAGTTGAGCTTGCAAATTTGTGAGTCAATATGTCAAATTGCAAAAATAAGAAATTTATTTTTTATATTTTATTAAAAAAACATTTTAACTATTTTTAATTATTGTAGAATAAAAAATAAATATAGGTAAACAAATTTAATAATTATTAAACACATATTTTTTTTTTTTTTGCTATAAATGGGGACTAAAAGCCCAATAAAGAAACACTAGGACCTAACAGCACAGAATCGAGAGGCATCCAGACAAAGAAAAGGCAATAAAGGGGTAAGGGGTTGATCTAACAACTACAAGGACTACAACATTTAGCTCCAAATTTTGCAAGCCAATCCGCACATTGATTGACTTCTCTACAAGCAAAGTTAAATTTAACAATAGGAACTTGTTTTAATAGGGATCTAATATCAGAGATTAGAGAAAATAAAAGATGTGACTTGGAAGGAACATTCAAAATAAGACGGAGAGCATCCTTAGAATCTCCTTCAAACCAAATACACTGAATTTTCTTTTTAATAACCAGGGTAACCCCCCAAAAAATAGCCCACAATTCAGCAACTAAGGGAGTGCAAGGGGGAGTGCTGCCATGAAACCCAGCAATAAAGGACCCTTTATCGTTTAAAATTAAGCCTCCAAAGCCAGCCAACCCTTTATCTGCATTCACCGATCCATCTACATTAATCTTCAAGTGACCATGACTGGGAGGAATCCATTTTACTCTACCTTGCTGCTGCACAGACCCAAAACTAGAATTAGTGTTGCGATTATACCAGTAGTTAAAATAAGTAAACTCCCAAATAATTCTCTGCACTAACTGATTGGGAGAAATAGATAAATTCTGGAAAATAAAGGAGTTTTTATCCTTCCAAATATGCCAAGTTACAAAGCCAAAAAGCCTATTCCAGTCAGGAAATTTATTATGATATCTATTAGATAAATTGCTATACTTATCCATTGATTAAAACTGCAACTAAAGAAAACAACCCAGTTATTAGAAAAAATAAAATGACTCCAAACCTTTCTAGCATGAAAATAGTCTCGAAGAACATGAACAATGGACTCAGGAGCTTCACCACACCTACGACAATCAAGAGAATCAGCCATATTCCTATCAAATCTCTCTAGATTTGTTAATAGTTTACCATGCCCTATTTTCCACAGAAAAAGATTGATTTTTGGAGGCCCTTTCCACTTCCAAATCAAGTCAAACACCTTGATACAAGGAATATTATTTATCAATGGTTCCAACAAAAAGGAATAAGCAGATTTAAGAGAAAAGTCTCCATTACTATTTAAACTCCAGAAGAATAAATCATGACCCCCGACTATAGAAGGAGAGTTCATCCTACTAATTAAAAGATTTATAGGAATGGGTAAATAGTCTTTGAATTTGTCCCACTGCCAAACACCTTGGGATGAGAAAAGAGCAGCATGATTACTTAAATTAGCTTCTGGAACAGGCGATAAAGATACCTTAGCTAGAGATTGGTGATTGGAAAGTCAGATATCAATCCAAAATTTAATGGTGGAGCCATCCCTAAGAGTCTATCCCAGCCCTTTTGAGAAAATAGACCAGACAGAGGCCATCCCTCTCCACAAATGGGACGCCTTTTGGGGGGAACTAATACAAGGGGAATGTCCCAAAACAAACCGATATTTGCTCCTTATAACCTGGGCCCAAAGGTCATTAGGAGAGTTAATTAACCTCTAACAGAGTTTGAAAAAGTAAGCTTTATTAAGGAGTCTAATATCCTTAAAGCCTAGACCACCAAGACTCTTAGGTTTACAAATCTTCTTCCAACTAATCAAATGACAATTCTTTTTACTTAGAGATCCCTATATAAAATTCCTACAAATATTATTAATTTCCTCACAGACTGAAACAGGGAGAACCAGAGCTTGCATTATATAGTTAGGGACACTCATAAGGCACGACTGGGCAAGAGATACCCTGCCTGCCATAGACAGAGAGTTTACTTTCCAAGAGATGAGTTTTTCCCTGATCTTATCAATGAGATGGGAGAAGTCTTTCCTATTAGGTTTATAATGGTTGACAAGAATTTCAAGATAAATTCCAAATTGAGTCTGAGTTTTAATTTTAAACTTATCATAAATGGCACTAAAAAGAACAGGATCCGTATTTTTAGAGAAAAATATAGATGATTTATTAAAATTAACACTGAGTCTAGAAGCAGAGCCAAAAGAACTTAAGACATGTTAAATAACTTCAGCCTGCTGGGGGTCTGCTTTAGCAATAAGAATGATATCATTAGCAAAGAATAGATGAGATAATATAGGCCTTGTTCCACTAAAAGAAAAAGGAGTCCAGTCCCTATTATTGACTTTATCTTGAATTAAGTAGGCCAGCCGTTCAAGACATAAAACAAAAAGGTAGGGAGAAAGAGGATCTCCCTGCCTGATCCCTTTAGAAGGCCTAAAAACTTTGGAGGGTTTGTTATTCCAGTTTAGGTACATAGAAGAAGATGAAATACATTCATAAATGAGATTAGACAGAGAATTATCAAGTCCAGCCTTAGTGAGAGTATCCAAAATGAAATTCCACCGAATCTTATCATAAGCTTTTTCTAAATCCAATTTCAATAACATAAAACCAGAGCTGCAATTAAGTTTATTAAAAGAATGCAGAAGTTCTTGAAGGATAAGAGAATTGTCTATCCCTTACCTGCCCGGAACAAAACTTGTTTGATTTTTAGAAATTAGCAAAGGCATAGAATCCCTTAATCTGTTAGCTATGATCTTAGTGATGATTTTATAACTAACATTACAAAGAGAAATTGGTCTAAAATTAGATACATATTCAGGGCAATCATTTTTAGGAATAAGAGTTATAGCCGTATTATTAACATCAACTATATGATGAGGATTATTAAAAATATCCATTACAAAATCAGAAATAAAAGGAGTAAGATGATGCCATTGATTTTTAAAAAACAAAGCATGTAGACCATCAGGTCCAGGAGATTTGAAATTTTCTATGCTAAATAAAGCAGTTTTAATCTCTTGGGTAGAAACAGGAGCTTGACATCTAGTCTTATCCATCTCCCTGAGAGGTGTAAAAGAGGATGTACTATCAAGATGAAAGTCAGAGGGGTGAGGGTCATGATACAGAGTTTGAAAATATTGGATTACTAACAATTCAAGCTTAATAAGATTATATTCCCACCTGTGATTGTTATCTTTTAGGGCTTCTATAATATTTTTATGCCTACAAATCTGAGCAGCTTTATGAAAAAGCCTAGTATTTCTGTACTCAAGGTTGAGCCAGTTCACTTTATGGTGATGAAACCAGTAACATTCCTCTTGGTCAAGGATTAAACAATATTCCTGCCATAGAGAATCCATTAGGTTGGAGAGATATGGATTATTCCCAGCAGCCAGTTGCCGAGAAATACCTTCCATGCGACTGAAAATACTACGTTTTCTTTTAAAAATATTACCAAAGATATTTTGGTTCCAATCAGAAATGTTATCCTTAAACCTATGAACATTCTCTATCCAGGAACTGGATCTAATCTAAGCCTTTTGGACTTGATGGAGAAAGTCACTATGAGACAGCTAAGGAGCTAAAAACTTAAAGGTTTTGTTATTACTTACAGGGGCATTCCTACCCCTAATTTTCAACCATAAACCCACATTATCAGATTTGGGAATAGGAATGTGGATTACAGAGCTATTATAGAATAAGTTACGCCAAGCATCATTAGCCACAACCCTATCTAATCTTTCTTTTAATTGACCTCTCTGCCAAGTGAAAGGGGTTGCTTTAAAACCAATATCTTGCAGACCACAACAATCAAGACAATCGGCTAGTTTTCTAATTGAGTTAGGATTTGCATGTCGACCCCCTACCTTTTCCCTCTCATATAAAACAGAATTAAAATCACCAGCTAAACACCAAGGGGACTGAATATTTACACTAAATTTCATAAGATCCTGCCAACACCCAGATAGTAAGTTCTCATGGGGACTAGCATAAACAGATGAAAGAACCCACTCCTCATAAACATGAAACTTACCTGTTAAATGAATAATTGATTTAGTTTTATGGAGAATATTTACATTAGCCTTTTTAGTATTCCAAATACACCAAATTCCCCCAAAAAAACCAATAGCCTCAATCCTTTCAGAGACATCTAAATTAAATTTATTAATAATATTATCAGCTTTATCTTTACTAACTCTTGGTTCAAATAGAGCTATGAAATCCAAATGATGAATATAAATTAAGTCATTAACAAGTCTGGAAACAGATTTTCCTCCAGCTCCTCTACATTTCCAAAACAGACAATTCATTAAAAGGAATAAAAATTTAGATAGCAACTGAAAGATGCTAAGAACTAGGAATACACTCTATTAGCTTAAGGCCCTCATTCCTATCCTGTTCCTGTGCTTGAACATTTATTAGGTTATTCTGATTATCAGGATCCGGAGACTTATCCTTAGGAGTCATTTTATCAGTTTGTGGCCAAAGGTTCTTAGGGCTTATGCCTAGAATGTCTTGTAACGATTTACTTCCATTTGATTGCTGAATTAATTCATGTTGGATTTGATTCATTAAACAAAAAATTTCTTTATTCTTCTGATTATCAGTTGTGGTCTCACCATCTACGCAATCTGTTCTAATCTCAGGTTGAGGGGGGAGGCACCTTATTCCTATATGGTCTTTCCTATTTTGGAGTTATTCTAGGTTTATTTATCTTCTTAGAATGGGTACTAGGTTTAATATAATTCTTATTATTATATCTAGTTTGAGAGAGAGTACTATTAGAAGATTCAGGTACAATATCCATCTTTGTGTTTTGTATACTCAACTTTATTGGGCTACTATCATTTTCCATTCCTAGTTGGGATTCCTTGTTGCCTAATACATTAAAACGTGATCCCGAACTATGCTCATTACCTGTATCCTCATAATTTGAAGGGCCATTCATCCTAGACTGTCCTATCTTCTTTTTCATGGGCCTCTTAGCTAGCATCCAAGGACCATAGCTACCCTGACTTTCCCTTTCATTCCCTATTGGGTGATCCTCACTCTTATTCTCACTGTTTCTAGGATGGGGGGGGGGAAAGACATCATTTTCTTCTATTGAGGCAGTGGGTATTTTATAAGATTGCCTAATATCTATGCACTGCTCTTGTCTATGTCCATACTTTCCACAAGAGAAGCAAATAAGGTGCAGGCCCTCATATTCCGCCTTAAACTCTTGGCCTAGCACCATAAAGGATGGGATAAGTGTTTTCCTTAAGTATAATTCTACACATATCCTAGCAAATCTACCCCGCCAGAGCAATGAAGTATAGGAATCTATTTTCAACATAGATCCCAGGCAAGATCTCACTTGCCATAAAAATTTATCATTATACAATTCCAAGGGGAGATCAGGAATCCTCACCCAGGCAATAATTTTCCTAAGCTCTTGGTCTTTTGGCCTAAACAAAGGCCTCCATCGTTGGACCAACAAATAGTGGTCAAGAATAAGTCAGGGTCCATTAAACAAAGCTAATTTATAGTCTTTATTATTATCAAATTTGACAAGAAAAAAATCATTATTCAGATCCAAGATTTTTAACGTTCCATTTTTACCTCAAATGTTTGTTAACTTTTGATTCAGATAGTTAAAATTCATTGATCTACCTAACAATTTAACAATTAAAGTTAGCTTCCATGGGGAACACCACAACTCATAGTCGTCTAGAGGAACCCTAATCTCAGGACAAATATCCTGGGAATCATTAAACATTATTTCTTGATCTTCATTTTCTAATAGAGGAATATTAAGTTCTTTCATAGCAGTTCTTACAATTTCCTCATCACCCAGAGACATATTAAAATCCCTAGATTCTAGTACTTTATCTTTGTACAAAATAAGAGGAAGAGGATTTTGGGAAGAAAACACCTTTATCGCAGTATCCTCCGAGCTCTCCTCTACATGTTGAACAACTTTGTCCTTCTCAGACACTCCTATGGTCTCGATTTTGACTTTTTTCTTGCTGCGATCCACCAGATTTTGCTCCTCGCTGGAAAGTTTCTCCCCTTCCGAACGCTCCATCCCGTCTTCACTCTGGAAACAAAGGGCTTCTTG